ATCACTTCTCCTACGGCAGGTGATCGCTACCCACATCAATACACTTCCCCGGCCGAATCTGTCCACTTGGGAAACGCAAGCGTCGGCGAAACGTTCACGTCGACGTCTGTACACCCGCATTCTTCCATCGCGTCGTTCCAATAGAAATCGTGATTCATCACTGAACCAGATTCTACGCCAATTCGGTAGGTTCCAGGCCTGAACGTTGGTGCACCATTGAACTCGATGTCGACAATGTTGTTGTCGAAGCACAGGGCCAAACTAAGGTCTTCTGGCACGTAAACCAGCCTCTCTCAACCTGTTCCTGACGGTCTGTGCAGAAAGCCTCCTCAATCCGGGTATTTGTCGAGCGGACCTAGTCGCCGTAGCTGTTCGATGACTCAGGTGATGTACCCGGATGTAGCGATCCTGCGCCGCAGTGGTCGCTCGAGGTCGCCCACAACGAGGGGCATCTGCTACCGCATTGTGCCGGCGATATCTCTCCCAGAGCCGTGAAATGGTGCTTTGGTGAACATTCATGCGTCGGGAAAATGCACGTTGAGACTGGCCAGCTTCAAGCAAACCAATTGCGATATGACGGTTGGCTTCACTTAGACGTGGCATTTTGCGTTCGTCAACAATATTCCAAATACAGTGAATAATCGACAGACAGCGATCAACATCTTATACCCATCATTGAGACTATCTGATCCCCAACTTTCACGACAATTACATGTGAATTGTGTATTCTGTGACACTACACGCCGAAATTGAAAATCATGCTGTCAAATTTGGGTATTTTACGGATGGTGCGTTTTGTTGTGACAGGTGCTCAGCCATCCGGATATACGAGAAAAAAATGCATATGATTTAGCATTTGGTATGTGAAAATGACGGTCCGGTTATGGAAACCAGATTTCCGGATAAGTGAGTAATTTTACAACGTTATGAATTCGTTTTAATGATTTTCGTTCGGAAGGCGAGTTTTCCGGATATGTGAGGTTCGGATAAACGGGTCACGACTGTACACACATAACATATTGTGAGTGCTTTAAGTGTCGAGCGAATGCTTTAATCACCAGGCTACCCCACCGCCCTCGCGTCAGAAGAATGTAATTACAACACCTGATGGGCGGGACGCACTGACGTGTATCTCCGTGGGCGGTCGGTAGGTTGGGTGGAGATGACTGGGTCAGTAAGCCGCGATTTGCCTCATTGCAACACGGGAATACCTAGCAGGTGCCCCAGTTCTGTTATCAGTCATTACTCACTATGACGTCTATTATGCAATGTCGAATGTTCAACAAGCCCGCGACCAATTTCAATCGGCATGTCTGTTAGTAGGTGCTAGTATGTTAACTTGCAATATTCACTCACTATCCAGTTAGGGCCCATGCAGGTAGCAAAGTACTGTAAGTCCCCACGGTCCCTAGTATGGTGATCTACCTTCAGTTGTTTGCATTTATAGTTAAATAGTTTAGATTTAATTACTAGCTTTAAATTTATTTCTGTGATAATTTACTTGTTTTACTGTCCTTTGCAGACAGGTAAGTATAATATATAACTTTACTTTCATTTATTTATAACTTTACAACTTTCTTAGTCACGATATGGCTGAAATACTGCCGAGGTGACTTTAAATATTAACTCACTCACTCACTATTAACACAAAATAGGATAAATTCTTACATAGCTGCCCTTTAAAACTATCCAACACTATAGTGACAGACTACTTCATAAGTGAAGGGGAGGGTAGAGAGGGGTACCTGCAAATTTTGTTGGAGACTAGCTACATAGTCTTTCATACACCTGTAAAATCAAAATCAACGGGGATGGTTGAGTGATCGAATGTATGAGGCTCTCCCGGCAATAGTATCAATATTTAGGCAGGGCAGGGCAGGGCAGGGCAGGGCAGGAGGGGACAGGGTTAGGTGCAGGGGTGGGTAGGGAATTAGGGTGGGGTAGGGTAGGGTAGGGGTAGGAGTAGGGTAGGGTGGGGGGGTGGGGTGGGTAGGGTGGGGGTGGGGTGGGCAGTGGGGTGCGGTGGGGTGGGGTAGGGTAGGGTGGCAGGGGTAGGGTAGAGGGTAGGGTGGGGTGGGGTAGGTAGGGGGTAGGATGGGATAGGGTAGGGTGGGTAGGGTAGGGGTGGGATGGGGTAGGGTGGGAGTAGGGTAGCGGTAGGAGTAGAGTAGGGGTAGGAGTAGGGTAGGGGTAGGGTAGAGTAGGGTAGGGGTAGGGTAGAGTAGGGTAGCGGTAGGGTAGTTGTAGGGTAGGGTAGGGGTAGGGTAGCGGTAGGGTAGAGTAGGGTACGGTAGTTGGGAGGTTCTTTTACGCCGCTCTGTTATCTCCCACCTGCTCGAAAAATATGACTAACAAATATGTCATTGTTTATTCATTAAAGAGTTTGGTATTTTTCTAAAAACTATGTACAATTTGTCTGGTAAGTTGTTGAACAAACGTTTATTTCATAGGCAGGTGTCAGACCATGTACAGATCTCCTCTTAACAGGGCTAAAACCAGTAAAACCACTTCCCATCAAGATACCTGTCAGAAGGATTACATATCAGGTGTTTTGAAACTTCGTGTACATTGCTCAATCTCAATGGCAAACTGTGTCCCATACACGACCAGGGCTCACTAGCAATCTGAACTACTAGTTTGCAAATAACTCTAATCCAGTTTACAAATACTGTAACCTCACCAGCAGAACATGAACGATGTATGTAGACAGTCTATGTTGACGTATTCTCTTTGATTCGTGTAAACAGCAATGTTACGACAATAGCAAGCCGGAAATCATAAGAAAGGAATGATAATCTATGGATGACAACTTCTTTATTCAGTAGCAAAGGGCAGATAATTCAAAAGTAATTTAAAAATTAAAATTTTAAAAGCAATAATTTCCGAAACATCATGTCAAATGATTCCCAATTTCTGGTGCAGGTGTGGATTTAGATTTCCTTCAATTTCAAGTGGAGGACCCATGTGGCTAAAAGGCATCGTTTAGCAGCTACTTCGTGTTGAAGTTTTTATCCATGTTTTTCAACAGTTTTCTGAGTACTTTGCTCCCAAAATGTCCGAACTATCATCTCCAGAGCTTTCCCAATTTCCATACTTTGTGTCCAGGAACTACTCTGCACACAGTGCCTAAACGTGCCTTCGATATCCGCCATGCTGAGTGCTACTTATGAGCCAAAGTTCTCTTCAAAAACCTTCCAAGTCTTCTTCACGATTTTTTTCAAAAGCAAACTTACCAGGGAGGTCCTGAACAAAAAGCTACTTTCGAAAGGTCGTAAATCTATGTTAAAGTATGGGAGTTACGATCATCCTAGCTCTACGATCGTTTTGTGAAACGTGGACATGGACACTAACACCTATAACTCTGAAACAAGCAGTCCGATTTCGATCACAATTTGCCTGTGAATGTAAGCTATCAGTATCGACTATACGTACCATTTGCAGTAATACAACTTCAAACACAAAGGAGAGACAAGTAATATTCTATTTTGCTCACTACAGTTCTTAGTCTTCATAGGTTCTCTACAGAGCACAATGAAAATTGGCAATACGTATCTCAACAGTTTGCTGACCATTTTTTGTTCCATTGAGCATGTTAAATGTATCACCGTTTGGTGGTTAGATACATAAAGGGTAAACTGAGTTAGCTGAGGGAAGCGTCATTGTAAATCTACCAACAATCCCCATTCAACTGCTTTCTGGCAGTGCCCACAAATCAATGTACTTCTGGCGACAATTCGGTCTTCTGCAGGTTGTATTAAAACTTTATAGGTGACCTGTTTCCATGTGTTAGGTGTACTTCCACTCCCAGTATTCCCAGTATAGTTTCTTGCTCTAGAGTCACAGCTTCAGTTGCGAAAGCGTGAGACAGCGTAATGGACTTGCATAAAGACTATCGAAATAACTTACTTGCTGTGGATTCACAGGATCAGTTGCTACTGCCTGAGAGATACAGTGTAATTGATATTAATACAGTCCCAACAGTCTACATAGTATGAGGTGGACCTCTCGGCAGCAACGTAAGGTCTAGTCACGACGTAAGGTCTTTTCTCACACTATCGCTTCTCCAGGCAACAGCTGTCGATAGTGGCGGTTGAGTTTGCGCCAGTTGTCAAACGGACAAAAGAATTACGTCCCTTTACAATATCTCACTGACATCTTAAAGTATAGAAACGTAGTCGTTCTAACATTTTATTAGCCATTTATAAGACATTAAACTTTACGTTGTTGACATTGGCGGATCCAACCACCTCACTCTCACTCTCACACTCACTCACACACACACACACACACACACACACACACACACACACACACACACACACACACACACACACACACACACACACACACACACACACACACACACACACACCTCTTTCAAAATTCCTGGATCCACCCATGGTTGACATATACTTTGAACCAGAATTTTGACCAGATTTAAGATTTCTATTGTATCTTTACATAACTCTATGGAGTTTGCTTGAAATAATGTTCGACCGGTAGAGGGCGCGAAAGTCGATTTAATGCAACGTTGCATTAATTAATTCGAACTTGTTAATTAATATTGTAATCTAAATACGTATACGTAATTATTGTTAGAACAAATTATATGTTAGCCTCCCTGAGAGATAGCATTATTGAGAGAAATGCATTATTTACTTTTAGAGAAGTGTGGTCCGATATAGTGACTTTAAGTATGCCGAGTCAACTGCAAGACAACTGCTTGGTCCGAGCCAATAAAATTGACCCACAGTGTGTTGTTAAACAGACAGACAGACACACAGACAGATTATTTATTAAAGTCTCACCTCAAGTTTTTACATAAAATACATGTGGTATAGAGTACAAACGTTTAAAAGGTGAGACTATGATTACAAAAAATAGATATACTTCTGTAATTCTTAAACGCTTTTCTTTACTTACAAGTATCAGAATCTCTGAACAGTCGTAATTCCAATTATGCAACTGGATTTTCCGGTTCATTCATCACTTGATTGTCACATCTTGATTTTCACATCTATTCTTCCTTTACACCAAATGGAATCTGTTCCTCAGGATAGTCAAGATTGGATATTCTCAGCACTTAAGTTCTATGTTTGACATAAGGAAGCATCCTTAAAATAGCTGAAATGCTCCCATTAGCTGCACTTCAATGGACGGGGGTCTGATGTAAATCAAAAGAATGTCCAAGGTAATTTTTGCATATATTCTTGAAAATAGATCACTGGAAACGTTTGTTTCGTTGTTTAAGATAGACTTACATTTGAATTCATATCATGTGAATCACATTGAACCTTGCACCTTTTTTCAGCTAAGGTCACGATATTTTCTGTTTTCCTGAATGTTTGAACAAAGGGTTCTTCTGTTTTGAGGTTCATTTTCCCAAGTGATATTCATAAATTTAAGACAGTATGCTTTGTAATGAATTAATCCAAACTTCCCGGACTTCCGGTACTTCCAGATTTTGACTAGCACCATAAATACAGTGGAAGCCCTCCAAACCGGCATTCTTTGGGACCGGCAATACATGCCAGGATAGAGGTTTAGAGAACTGTTCCCTTTTCAACCTGAATATAATCTTCCGTGTGCCGTTAAATACGACTGAACAACGTGTTGAAAGTCTTCACATTCTTCTTTCATCAGTATGTCCAAACCTGAGGTGATGTCATCCATTCAGTTAGTGCAAATGCCAAGGTTGCAATGGAACCTCAACCTTCTTAAAAGTTCAGAACTGTCTCCAAAGTCGCAAGTGTCATGATCCAAAACCAGTACACAATGGTTTGTATCTAAGCTAGGACGATGATAATTCCTGGTTAAAGTAAATGAAGGAACACTTTCCATTACTGGAAGTGACAGGATCCATACAAGATTCAGGAAGTTCTTAATGGCTAATTAAGTTCTTTAGAGCTAAAGCAAGAAAAGAGCATGGAGCCATAAATTGCTGCTTGTGCCTATTTGTCTTCCATTGTCACTTTGCCGATAATCTTATATTAGACAATATATGTATCATCTGAACGAAAACTGTGAGAATATGTTAACATAATATGAATTAAGTGCACTACAAAGCACAAAATGTTAATGACTTTAAACGATAAACACTACCCACCCCGCCCCTAAATATTGCAGAATACGGTTTATCAGAAAAAGGGTATCTATGAAAATAATGTTAATTTTAAACATTAACATCTGTACAAACGAGTGGTAACAAATACAGCAGCTAGTTTTTGGTTATAACTGTCATATTGGCCGAGTGTAAAAACAGTCGGCTACACAAAAAGGTATTCTTCCCCACTGCCTAGCAAGCAACGTTTTTGACGATGTCGTGGTATTAGCTATAGGGCGGAGGTTCGTCATTGTATTGGGGCGTAGGCGGGTCATGGTGTTGTGGCAGAGGTGGGTCCGAGGGTGTCACGTAGCCTCCTTCGGGTGTCATGTATGTCATGTAGGCTCCGTCAGGTGGCAAGTAGGTGCCCTGGGGTGTCACATACTGGGGGGTCACGTGTCTGGTGCTGCTCATTTCTACAGTAGCAATTTGGGGCACTTGTTGAGTTGGTATGGGTGACGGATCCTGAAAGGGTAATGGTTGGTAAAACTTATTTTGTTTGATATAATCCGGAATCATCATTTTGCAAGCAAACTTCCCAACCCTCACCAAGAAAACCCGAAAGGTTAGAGAAGCATTTATGGAAACTACAACTGAAGAACAAACGATTTCAGTGTATAAAAGTTTTGTCAAATATGTATTTCAAACCTTTTGTTTTGTTACTGTTAAGGAATATTATGAGAAACGCAATTATTATTTATTAAAAGCTTCCAGATTATATGTTACTGGTAGCGTCAAGTCGTTGGTGTCTTCGTGTATAATCATTATTTTTCTCCCCATGGGTACAACGTGTTAAGCCCATTTTGGCTGTCGCCTTTCGTGATGCTGCTGAAATATTGCTGAAGGCGCTATGAAACATACCCACTCACTAAGTCCGCAGCTTTACTGATAGAAACGCATTACGTTGGACCAGTAAGTGGCTTAAAATATACGTCCGTACTATTGCCATATCATTATGTCGCATATGAGTTTATTATATATACCTAGAAAATAATAAAGTACAGCTTTCAATGCATTTCAAAGTGTATGAATAATTGTTTAAAAAGTTGTTGTTTGTTTGTTCGTTTGCTTGTTTGTTTAACTTCTTACTGAGAAATGCTCCAGCTATATGGCGGCGGTCTGTAAATAGTATAAACACCTGAGTTCATTGGTGCAAATTTCTATACGAAAAGCGGCCCATTTGTTTACTTGCAAAATAAAGTTGCTTTCTGTAAAATACGCTCCCTTCTTGAGACCGAAAGATCTGTTCGTGAAATAGGGACATTTAAAAAAAGGAGACTGATGTCATAATTATGTTGACTGAGTGAGGAAATCTGGTTGTTTAACGCTTCTTTGGACTGTATTCCAGATGTATAACATGTACATCTTTAACAAACACGGGGTATGTTCCAGGGGAGCTAACTCTTTCGTACTTGTTAAAGGTCCGGGTTAGAATGTATCTTCAGCAACCAATGCTTGTCGTAAGCGGCGACTAACGGGGTCGGGTGGGCAGGCTCGCTGGCTTGGTTGACAGATGTCATCGGTTTCCAATTGCGCAGATGCTCATGCTCGCCGCCATATATCTGGAATATTGCTGAGTAAAACTAAACTCACTCACTACCTCTTTGGCGGAACCCATGAACACGGGTATATTCCAGGGGAGCTAACTCTTTCCTACTTATATCATTTACCGCTTTGGCGGAACCCATGAACACGGGTATGTTCCAGGGGCATATATACCAAGGGAAGCTACCTCTTTCGTACTTTTATCATTTACCGCTTTAGCAAAAACCATGAACACGGATATGTTCCAGGGGCATACCAAGGGAAGCTAAATCTTTGGTGCATATATCATTTACCACTTGGCAAAAACCATGAACACGGATATGTTCCATAGGAGCTAACCCTTTACTGTTTCCCTGGAGGTCAGGGGTCACAATCAGCCAGTCGAATAGCTTGAATATGTGTACACTGTGCAACATCAGACAACTGGGCACTGACATGACAGGTGTAATGGTAGATACTGTTATGTGAGATATGATGTTGTCGGTAGGGCTTCCACGGGTACTCGAGTACTCGAGGACGAGTCGGGTTTAGCTGGACTCGAGTCCATTTTCTCTGACTCGAGGACTCGAAAAGGGCAGATAACTCGAGTTATTGGGTAACGTTGACAGAGTGTCTGTGTGCCATGTGCTAAGCATGAGCGGCCGTTGACTTTTTATATTAAGATAAGATATAACTTTATTATCCCGGAGGAAATTCTTATACATTGAAACTGTCTCAAAATGAATACATGTATATGCACAATTCACAAAAATATACACAATAATTACATACACAAAACGAAAGCTATTTACAGAATAAAACTGACATGATATTATTCAATTAACCACATAGGTAAAGAGACTAAATAATTCTAGTTGTAATCACATGATGATGATTCAAAATATTTGTTGCATTCACGAATACTTGACGGTATGAAAGACTGTCGAGCTCTGTTTGCTTTGAGGGAAGGTAATCGACAGCAACGTCCAGAAGGAAGTAGTTCAAAATGGTGAGATCAAACATGTTAACTATCAAATCTAATTTTAGTTGCCTTTTTGACAATCTGGCGCTCATAGATAAAGGGAATATACTCGAAAGACACTTTTGTTGCGATCAGACAGGCCCTATACCAACATAGAAAATTGTAGGTCAACACACTTTGAATAAAGGTTTGATAAAAAACTGTCATTACGGTTTTGTCAATGTCTTGACGATAATAATGTTCAGAATCAGAAATTAGGCCAGTAACAGTGGCGTCATCTGCGAATTTCACAGTAAACAAGTCATTTATTGACAAGTAACAGTCATTGGTATACAAAACGAAAAGTACGGATGAAGGAACACAGCCCCGTGGAGCTCCAGTAGAGGTTGAGAAAAAAGAAGATTGATAGCCATTGACACTGACATACTGAGTTCTATGTACCCTGAATTCTTTAACCCATCTGATAATGTTTTCATTAACACCTAGATTACATAGTTTACTCCTCACACGGTGTGGCTGTATGGTATTAGTTGTTACAAGTCTGCAGATGAGAGTAAATTTTATACATCGTTTGAGATTTCACTTCTTAAAATGATCTTGACAATTGATAGACATGGAGAAAGATAAAAAATCAAATGGATGGGCGTATCTTTTTCCTTTTTTTCTTTACCATTTTTTACTTGTTTAAAGGTACAGTACATGTGGTCAACGTATGACATTGATAGGTACAATTGTGCTGATATACAAGATTACAAAAGCAATCAATGATATTTCTATAAAAAAGTCTCAAATGGCATCAGATACCATGATGCCATATGTATGTATGTATGTATGTATGTATGTATGTATGTATGTATGTATGTATGTATGTATGTATGTATGTATGTATGTATGTATGTATGTATGTATGTATGTATGTATGTATGTATGTATGTATGTATGTATGTATGTATGTAGATACGTATGTATGTAGATACGTATGAACGTACAGGTGGATATGCATTCAATTTGTGTCTATATGAAATAAGGATGACAGACAAAATCATTATAGTGCTGAATGAGTGTATGTAGAGATGACCAAAAGGAGAAAAAATTGTCAACACCACATGAGGAGGAATAAACATATCTTGTAATGTCATAATACTTAATTATCTCCCTTTTCCCATGACTGATAAAGGGTACAGTTGAATTTCTGCTGTGTCTAAAGATAACTTGCTTTACAACAAGTATTATCGCATTAATTGGGTTATTATTTTTTCCTCTAATTCCAAGTTAGACATTCTGTTATATGAAATATAACGGAATATTCAAGTCAGTTAGGATGGGCGTATCTTGATCTGGAAAGTGGAAAGAGCAAAATAACCAAATGCCGCCTGTGCGGTATATCACTGCCTTATTCAAGCTGTACAACCAGCACGATGAAGAAAAACATTTGTCAAGTAAACATCCCAATGACCAATAGGAAATGTTAGTCACATCACGATATGAAGTCGGAATGAAGTAAGTGTTCACTTGTGTGATCGGACCACATGTCATGCCAGTTACGCTATCGTTTGCTTGAAAGGGATGAATTTCGAGTACTCTGGTCCGAGTCAAGTCTCACCCCTCGAGTACTCGTTGGACACGTGCACATTGTCAGAACTGATTAAGACAAGGATGATAATGAGGTAGGGGATAATGACATACATGATAATGTTGTTTGTGATAGTGACAGGATGATAGTTTTGAATGTGATAATGACCGGTATGATAAAGGTGGTAGTAATAGTGACAGATATGATTTTGTTGGATGTAATAATTACAGGTATGATAATGTTGGATGTAATAATTACAGGTATGATAGGGTTGGATGTAATAATTACAGGTATGATAATGTTGGATGTAATAATAATAGGTATGATATGTTGGATGTAGTTATGACAGATATGATAACGTTCGATGTAGTAATGACAGGTATGGTAATGTTGGATGTGTTTATGACAGGTATAAAAAAATGTTCGATGTAATAATTACAGGTATGAAAATCTTGGATGTAGTAATGACAGGTATGATAATGTTGGATGTGGTTATGACAGGTATGAAAATGGTGGATGTAATAATAACAGGTATGATAATGTTGGATGTAATAATAACAGGTATGATTATGTTGGATGTGGTTATGACAGGTATGAAAATGTTGGATGTAGTAATGACAGGTATGGTAACGTTGGATGTGGTTATGGCAGGTATAAACAAATGTTCGATGTAATAATAACAGGTATGATGATGTTTGATGTAATAATGGCAGGTATGATAATGTTGGATGTGGTAATAACAGGTATGATAATGTTGGATGTGGTTATGAAAGGTATGAAGATGTTGGATGTAGTAATGACAGGTATGGTAATGTTGGATGAGGTAATTACAGATATGATCATTTTGGATGTAATAATTACAGGTATGATGATTTTGGATGTAATGATTACAGATATAATAATGTTAGATGTAATAATAACAGGTATGATAAAGTTAGATGCAATAATTACAGGTATAATAATTTTGGATGTAGTAATGACAGGAATGATAATACTGGATGTGGTAATAACAGGTATGATAATGTTGGATGTAGTAATAACAGGCATGATGATGTTGGATGTGGTAATGACAGGTATGATAATATTGGTTGTAATAATTAAAGGTATGATGATGTTGGATGTAATAATAGCAGGTGTGATAATGTTGGATGTAATAATAGCAGGTGTGATAATGTTGGATGTAATAATTACAGGTATGATAATGTTGGATGTAATAATTACAGATATAATAATGTTGTATGTAATAATAGCAGGTGTGATAATGTTGGATGTAATAATAGCAGGTGTGATAATGTTGGATGTAATAATAGCAGGTATGATAATGTTGGATGTAATAATCACAGGTATGATAATGTTGGATGTAGTTATGACAGATATGATAATGTTGGATGTAATATCTACAGGTATGATAAAGTTGGATGTAATAATAGCAGGTGTGATAATGTTGGATGTAATAATGACAGGTGTGATAATGCTAGATGCTGCAATTACTGCATTTACTTCATTTCATCTTAACAAACTTTCTCTAACCAAGAACACCTTAATCCTTTCTAAGTTTCCTTTCTAACACTTTAATCGCTCCCATGGGTAAGTTCATTATGCCAGACAGGTAAATGCCGTGTGTTGTTTTAACTAATTGTAGGGGTACTGAGATGTAGGGGTAATGGGATACAACCCCGTGTACTATTAAACACCTGATATGCATGTGAAGTCAGGAGTGACGTACCTGGGAAAGGATACCAGACACGATGCAATTGGCCAGTGTGAGCAGGCAGGCATGGATGAGGATGATCATAATGACAATGGCCGTCCAATCACATCTGTCCCGCGCCGATGTTAAATACAGATAATACATATATAATGAATACACAATGCCAATACGAAAGTGGTCAAAAGTAACACAAGTACAGATTCTGAATTTGTAAAGTGTAGTATGAAATATCGCATGTGTTATAGCTGTATAATATACACATCACAATTGTAACGCTGCATGAGAACCAGCCATTCTTCTCCTCCTTGCACACATACGTGTACATTTTATAAACGTTTCGAGATTGTTTGTTTGTCGTGTTTAATGCTTCACTCATCAAGGTTGCAGCTGGATGGTGTTCTGTTAATAATTGTCCCTGGACCAAACTCTCGTATATTTGACATCACCATCGATCTGATATGATGAGGGGCGATGGCGTAGACTGGTGGTTAATGCGTTCGCTCGCCACGCCTTAAATCCGGGTTCGATTCCCAACATGGGTACAATGCAGAAAGCCCATTTAAGTGTCCCCCGCTGTGATATTGCTGGATTATAGCTAATAGCGGCGTAAAACTAACTCATTGATACGATGATATGCCTCAAGCAGGCTGGCCCCGTTAGTTGCGGCACATAAGGCAACCACGGAGTGGTCCAGACAGAAGACAGTATGCTTAATATATATATAAACTGTATATATGTGTATGTATAAATAAAGATTTATTTATGTATTTATGGTACTGTCCTACCTGCTAAAGCAGAGGCCGATGGCGCTGAAGGCAAACAAGTAAGTGACGTAGGCCATCACGCAAAGGGCCAGTATGCTTAACACGAGGTGGGTGATGTACTGGAATGCAATCACATTTATCTGAACTTACTTATGAAATACTTGCAGTTTATTGGCCAAGTCAGTTGTGGAAAAAAGTGACCATTTAACCAGCTACCGCTAGTGCGAAAAGATTCATTGCGTATTGTTAGTCAATTTGAGGACAAAAAGAAGCCCAACTTCCAAAGGGCGTTTTTTTAAAAAAAACTTAGTTTATTTTAGTTAGACAGTTGTTTGCATGTCATATCTAACCTGTTGTATGCATGTCTGAACAGCTGTAATCATTTGGAACAGGTGTATGCATATCTGAACAGTTGCATGCATATTTGAACAGTTGTATTCATATCGGAATCGTTGCATGCATGTCTGAACTATGGTATTCATATCATAACAGTTGTATCTATCTCTGAACAGGTGTATGCATGTCTGATCAGTTGCATGCATATCTAAACAGTACGCATGTACGAAAGTTCTATACATTCAATAACAGCTTATGCATGTCTGAACAGTTGTATGCATGTATGAACAGTTGTATGCATATATGAACAGTTGTATACATGTATGAACAGTTGTGTGCATGTATGAACAGTATTACTAAAACTAAAACTTCCACTTACGAGACCAGTTCTTTTGATCGCAGCAGCAACGATCCCACAAATCCCAGAAGTTATATGCTGAAAGGAAATGTAATGTTTAATAATGTTCAAGGAAATGGAGAACTATACAGGCTGTGGCTTCTATTTTACGTTTGCAGCAATATATTTGTATGCTCGAAAGGTCTGGCAGGCAATGATGCAGGTGATGGTGACTTTGCCCAGAAAATTGGTTAAAGGAAAATGAATGTTCTTTCAATTTTTAATTGCATAAGATAGAAACTCGATATTCTTCAAATAGATTTTAAATACGTAGGCCTAACGTTATTGAGGGATACGACATTTAAGCAAGTAGGCATCCCCAGGAGCAACGAATATCCGTTTCATTTGAAAAACATAACGAAGGAATTTGGCAAATATCGATGATCTGCTCAAAACTAATGTCAAGTACTTGATGTCCTCCCACTGATTTAGATGGTGAGTTGAAATGGGATTTAACGTCGTTCTTAAGAATATTTCGCTCATATGACGATGTGCATGTATGTGTGGCTGCTTGTACAAGCCCAGACTTAAGCTAGTTTTATAGTGCTAATCCACTGAGATACCAAGCCGAAGTTAAGCATGAATACCCCACTCAGACACATTATACTGACTCGGAGCTGACCAGACTTTGTTGTACCTATTAATGGCGAGCGCCAGGCAGAGACCAACAAGAGCTATATTTTAACGTCTTTTGGTATGACGCGACGAGGGTCGGACCCGCAAGCTTCCGCTCTCCGGGCGGACGCTCTAACCTCTACCACTACCGCGGTCCATTTGATTTAGAAGGGCTGAAATATGAACAAGGCTGTGTGATAGGACGATTACATCAGCTGTGTAATAATCAGCTGTTTTGTGTTACGAACATCACAGCATCTCCAGTATTTGGGTTGTACATTTCACAACATTTGAGGTGAAGGTATAACAAGCTTTCCGAAACTGTTATGACAGTGAGTGAGTGAGTTTAGTTTTACTTCGCACTCAGTATTATTCTAGTTATATGGCGTCGGTCTGTATATAATCGAATCTGGACCAGACAATCCAGTGATCAACAGCATGAGCATTGATCCACGCAAAAGGGATTCGATGGCAAGTGTCAACCAGCGAACCTGAACCTGACAACCCGATTTCGTTAGGCCCCTCTTACGACAAGCATGGGTTACTGAAGATCACTTCTAGCCCGGATCTTCAAGGAATCTGTTATGGCAGACGTGAGGAGGATCTTCCACAGTCGACGCATCAATGACCCAAATTTTCCAATTACTCAGTTGTACATTATGAATTTCTACCCCAAAATGAAAATTGATATGATTTGAAAATTAATTTAGTGAAATAATAAAATTGTCCCTATTTCCACTTCTGCTTACGTTTTATGCCGATACTTTACGTGTATTTGCGTGTATTTGGGATGGAAGGGGAAAATACGCGAGTACATGGCACCAGTTAGATTTATAGCTGGAATCAGACAATGGTCAATATTGTTAGCAGAGCTTCTTCATGGATATGGAAAGGTTTAACCAAATGTTTATCCTCTTGAAATACTTACCGCAAAGCAATAGCCCCATACATGGGTCGAAAAGTTGGCGATGCGGAAAGAACCCGTCAATGCAGCATAGATAATTCCTGGAATACATCAGTATTATCCTGATAATTCTGGCTCATGGAACCAAGTATAACTGGGGCGGTGGGGTAGCCTAGTGGTTAGAGCGTTAGCTCGTCACGCCAAAACCCGGGTTCGACTCCCCACATGGGTACAATCTATGAATCACATTCCTACTGGTGTTCCTCATGTGTTAATACTTATATATATGAAAATCATGTGCAAATATCATGCATGTGAACAGCTGCGTTTTGGTGTGACGTTTTGATAAGAATTCGCAAATTTTCACTGAGGTTCATCATCATTTATTGAACTCAAGACAATAATTTTTTCAATGATACGAATTTGTTTTACAATACTTCAGTTCATATGTAAACAGTACCTTTAAACAGTATGGAATATTTAGCAAAATTTAGTTTAGAACAATTGTCTGAAGTGAGTGGCTATATTTACACTAGTGAGTCGACACCTTTGATGGGAAGTATATGATATTATAGTGAGATAGTGCTAAGCATAGTATTAGCACGTTAGTTGGTTGGTTGCTTAACGCTGACCTTCCAGCTATATGGCGGTGGCCTGTACATAATCGAGTCTGGGCCAGACAATCCAGTGATTAACATTAGCAAGTAGGAATTTTAGCATCGAAATTTGATCATTAGACATTTACATCAACAGAGACGGATATTTAACAGACAATTGACAACCAATTGTTTTGGACATCGAGACGGGGCCTGACAAGACAAACACCTTGCATGAAGCCAGTTTTATAAATTAGCAGATATTTTGTCTCAGCTGCCTGGAGCAAAACCTTTTCCACGTACTTGCAGAGACATCGAGACACTATGTGTTCTTGACACACCACCCCTTCAACACTTTTGACTGGTGATTATTAGAAGTGGCCATATTGCTCGCCGGAAGTAAGGTCACACTGTTTTCACAACAAAAGAGTACACAAGGGAGGTAATAATTCAGGGGAGGTAAGACCCTTATTAAAAAGGACTATAACACCCCTATAACACCCCAACTCGCATCCACAAACGTGAATAGTATATCTCTTCCTCTTAACGAGAAGTGAACTTGCTAAGCCTTCAGATCATAAGAATGTACGCTGTTCTGGAACGTACTTTATCGAGTTAACCCAATATATGTGTGTGGTCTCTGTTACAAGAGAACGATCTGAAAGTATTTCTAAAGTTTAAAAGTCGCTTACCACACAAAATAACAACTCCAGAAATGACCCCGTTTGCCACGTTCAATCTTTGCCTCCGCTCCATGGTGTCACTGTCCCACGTCGCAGTAGATCAGTAACCCAGTTTTAGTGACAACCAGTTCTCAAAATACAGCTATCAACTACGCTATTTCGTTCCACGTGACTGAGCAGATCTCACGTGATGAATTTTTTATCCGAAATATTTCTATAGCTATTGTGCAATATAAACTAACACCATGAACGACAACTCTTTATGTAATACTATGGAACAGTTTGTTTACATGTTGTTTAACGCCGCACTCAAAGAAATGAGTGAGTTTAGTTTTACGCTGCACTCAACTTTATTCCAGGGTTAAGCTATACGGCGGCACTCTGTAAATAATCGAGTCTGGACCAGATAATACAGTGATCAAAGGTTTGAACATCGATCTACGCAACCGGGGTATGTGTCAACCAAGTCAGCGAGCCCTCCACCCGACAGGCATGGGCTACTGAAGATCAATTCTAACCCGGATCTTCACGGGTTCAATATCAAATGCACTCAAGGGATTCGACGCCATGCATCAACCACCCGATCCGGTTCCTTGGCAAAGGATGGCAATAAGAGGGAGGGAATGAAAACATTTATACAGTTTTACTTTTAAAATAGATCAGTTATAAGCAGTGTGCAAAATAGCCACTGGCCCGCTAGCCAGTGGCCAGTGACTGTGAGATGTTCTGGCCCGACTGTCTAGTGAATTTTCACGGGGTCATTTTGTAAACATATCACTCTCCGACTTGTTTAGTTAAAAATACAAGATTATGACCTGATAAAAATTTTCATCATATTAGCAGCTTAATATGTAACCCGTTTCATGCCGACAATGTCGTATTCTATTTATCTATATCTATGTTTGTAATCTTTTGCTTGATTGTACATTCACATTTCGGGCTAGTGAATTATTTTGTGGGCCAGTAGCTTTCAGGCATAGTTAGGCACGACTGGCTAGCAAAATGAGGAGACTATTTCGCACACTTGTTATAAGTTTAAACATTATGGTACATTATTGTTAGAACATGACAAAACTGGGGCGGTGTGATAACATTCATTCCTAAGACCAGTCTCCAATACAGTTTGTCTGAACACCATCACATAATTTCCAGATGTCCGGGAATGTCAAATAACAGGTGAACATTTCTCACGACACAAAATTACTCAAGTGTATTAAATGTTCAAGTAACAAGAGCCTGTCTCTACATCCGGGTTGACAAAATGGGTCGTGAAGTTCAAAATAGTCATATATTCACTTGTGAATATTGTGCTGTAAGCGAGGAAACCTGCCCATGTGGAAAGGTTGTATTTATCGTAGTCGAGAGACAGTCTGAAGATTGAAACAAACGATAACGTTTATCATAATTGTATGGTTGGATCCAACCTGATATCCTACCACCAGTAAAGAATAATAGAATACACAATGTACCCCCCACCATCTCTACTGCAGTTGTTCTCAGTAAGAACATGCACTGAACGGACCAGATTTAGGAGTGATTTCTGTCAAAATCAAATAAAGTTTATGTTTCAAATCTTTAAAGGGCATTTAGAAGTGGAATACATAAGAAAAGCAAGATTTGTGGATATCCACTTCTTTATTGTGAATAACACCACGTTTCGGAGTGTATGCTTGCTCCTTCATAAGGGAACACCACATCATGGCAGTGTCCCTTTATTTTTCAGATTTCCTCCCACACTGCTATTTAAAGCTGGTAATGAAAACTGGAAAATATTAAAGGAACACTTCAATATTCATGGTTCAACATTGTTAAGCTTGTCATACATGTTAGTTAAGGCAATATGAGTTCCTTCTGTGAACTCTTTAATCCTATGACTTGTTGAGCTGATTCTAGGAGCATACCAAAATTGGTGCTCATATGGCCAGCCATACCCTGACAGCCTGCAGGTGGCGTCATTATAGCATGGTTGTGTTTGGACCCTCTAGACTTCTCATGAAGAATTTTGCATTGATGAAATACTTGTCCACATCATATGTACAACTTCATACTCTTGAATCTTTACATAACACATTTAGTACGATTCACTTAACGTTTGTTCTATTGAAAAATTGAAAGAGCAAGTGTTTCACAGCGCAATTTAGAACAAATTTACTGTAACACTAGAAACTTCAGCATCAAGGACAAGGAAAACAGGACACTTGATCAGCGGTATATAGCATTATATAGGGTGCACATTCAACCAATTTAAAAGACATATGCGTGTATACATACACATGCTATCCTTCTGGGAAAGAGACAGCTAGCATAAATACAACAGATATACAAGCAGTTTCATGGTGATTGAAGCTTTGAATGCTTGTCCCCACCTAAAGTAAGGTCAATGGTTAGTTTCCATCAAGCAAAATCTGCCACAAAGAATACAATTTTTTAAATTCCAAGTTTATTCTCTTAAATGTTTTCTTTAACTTTCAAACATTCCACATTAGGAACTGTTCATAATTTATGGCTAGGGGGTGATGATGATTTTGAGGGGGGAGGGGGTCACCTATTTTGCTCAGGGGCTGGGGGTGGGAGTGGTCATCAATATTGTACGCATGTACTAGGAGGGGTCAATAATTATGGGAGGGGGTATCATCGATAATGGTCATGACAGGCAGGGGAAGGGGGTCACTTTTTTTGTGCATAAATCTTAGGGGGCTTCATTCACATTGAACATGCTCCTACATTTAAGTTATCATAACCGCCCACCCCCAGCCCTCTCCAAACCATAAATTATGAGCAGTCCCTTCTAATAAAATATCAATCTATCACTAAAGACACAGCTGGTGATTGTCTATTATATACATGTATAATCTATGCTTCCATCAGAGGCACACGAGGGTGGCCATAAGAGTGCACTTTGTACGGAATCAAACCTATCCTTAAGCGAGACAGGTATATGCATGAGCCATTCGGCTACTCAAGCTCCCCTGATAAGGAAGTAAAACGTGTATATCTGTTGTGATTATGATATCCACTCATGCCCATCTAGGTCATGCAAAAGTACCCAATAGATTTGTCACCCTCAATATTTAGAAGGCTGTGAGGAAAGGGAAGACAATATTATCATACTATTTAGCGATATAGAGAAAAAAGTATCAGTTTGGTACAAGATAAAATTTGAAAATATTATGTAAGTAAACATTTATTCAAACTACATCTGTAAAGTTCTATTTTCATAAATCTTTCTATCACGTCAAAAACACCTAATTACATTCTGAAAAATATATCAAGAATAGCTATCAGTATCTCACTGATCTGGAAAAGGCGTAACAATAATTGGGAGTATATGCTAGGGGACGGTTAGAGGAGGACAATGATGGGTACATACTACAATCAACATTGTCTACAAGCAAAACCTACACGATTGCTGCACAGGGAAGGACACAAGCAGTTGGCATAACTGAGAGGTGTGTTTATGCGTGAGAAGTCATCCCTAACAACTTTCAACAGCGTGTGGCTGACTGCTGACAGGTATACACAACCCGGATCTCTTGGGTCACAGTGACCTGCTGTTGGATGTAGAAATATTGAGACGGAGGGGGAGTTTTAGTTTTATGTCGCTTTTAGCAATATTCCAGCAATTTCACGGCAGTGACACCTGATATGCGCTTTACACGTTGTACACGGGTCTTCAATGTGACGAGCGAACGCTTGAACTACTAGGCTACCCCAACGACCCCGTGAAGAAATATTGAGAAAAGCATCAAAAATATTAATATGTTATAAATAGAGGATATGTCCACCCCAATAACCAGATATGTTCAACATTACTAAACTGGCTAGTTAATGATAAGTATACTACAGCACTTTTGATAGGGATATCGTTTAATCTCTCCATGACAGAAGGGGTGGTGAGATAAATTCCCCAAATGGGTACAACGTGTGAAGCCCATTTCTGATGTCCCCTGTTGTGATACTGCTGGAATATTGCTTAAAGCGGCGTAAAACCATGCTCATCTAATGGTACAAAACTGATTCCAATGTCATGTGTAAGTTTAAAGAAAAATGACAAGTCTCACAATCCCTATCAAAAACTTAAGTGGTGTAGTAATGAGTTTTATTAAACTGCAGGCTTACCAGTCAGTAATTGACAAATTATTCAAAAATCTTGGCAGGAAATATACAGAATTTAGACTTCCAGAGAAACCTACTTTTATACTTTAGAAATCCAAAAGATTTCATACGAGGGAAATACATCAACATATTGCAAAGCTTCATTTTATTATAGTTCTGACATACCCACTGAGCATAAGTTAGCATTCCTTGATTCATCATCCCTGATATGTCTTCCTCCAGCTTTTGTGACCGAATATTTAATGTTTGCCCACTGGGGACACATATTGCTCACAGTAGGATGCCAGCTTCTGGAGAAGGGAGTCTGACAGTGGTCTGGATTTGTGTCAGAGGAATGGACCAGGAGCAGCGACAGTATCAGCAACTGATGCAGTGCAACCTCCTTGCATCCTCCCAGTGTGCAGAAGAAGAATACCTTTACATGACCTGAGTAAAATCTGCATAATATTGAGCAAACATGCAGCTAGGATGTCCCATGAAGTGGAATTATGCATACCGTCAAATGTGTGTATATGAACTACATGAAGTACACGCAAGACCAGTCTGACATGCTGAGCACAACGGTGTCACCAGCACCTTCAGTCATTACTATATCTCTACGAATTTGTCATCATACTTCCAGTGTAAAGGTATCATTATTGCTACCCATCTACACCAAATGGGTTCAGTTTTTCAGAAAATCAAGATGTTATCTATGATCTGGCATTAACATTTTTCATTTACTATTATGTCTGACAATTCTAAACCTCACAATATACAGTGTACAGCATGTTCAGTTCATTATGGTTCAGCATCTGAATCCTACCCACAAATAAGCTCACTTTGTTTCACATTATCACTCTAACTGATGTGCTTTAGCCTTTTAAACTCTAAGCCGAGCGGCAAGACCTTAATATTTGTCATTTGGGGGATTATCTGACATTTTACAATTACATATAATTTACGGACGCCAGTAGCATGCTTAAGAAACTGTTGAGACAATACTTGTAGCGTGTTGATTTCACTTATGTTGGTTCCGGCTAGGGGTGTAACAATAAACATAAGAAAAGGTAGAATTCCTATGACAATACTGACTTTACCATACAATATGTAGTACCATACAGATTTCACAGACCTTAACTACATACTGATTCTAAATTTATTTTCTACTATTCAGGACGTTGTCATGAACCTTGAACTGTATAGTATATGATATGTCCAAAATCTGATGCTAATTTAAAAGGAATTTACTATTGTTACCATACACAAAGCAGTATAAAATTTCTTACTTCTATGGATGGATAGTGTCACCTTTAATAGTCTTGAATACCACATTTGCTGCAAAAAAACACTTCAATTACTTAGAATATTGTCAATGTGAACACTCATTAAAACTGCAGTTTAAATGATAATAATAATAATGTCTATTTATAAAGCCCCTTGTGTTTTCACACACTTGTGCATGCTCAAGGTGCTAACACGTTATTACACCGGTTAACCCAAGCTAGAAGGTTGACAGTCATATAACTTAACCCACCGGGTACCCATTTACTGCTGGGTGAACAGAATTTGTTGTTAGTCATCCAGCAGTAGTAGCCAGCTTTATTTCAAACATTGATGAAAATAAAAACAATTTGTTAAAAGTTTCTAAGCAGTCATATAACCCTACCAATCAGCTCTTTTCTATTAATGAAAATCTCTAACGTATACATAATACAGGCAGTTATGTAAATTTTCAGCTGCTGTTATTAGTAAATTTAGTGTCATAAAAATGACGCACAGATCAGTTTACAAGTTGCTCTAGGTGTTTAGAAGAGGAGCAGGGGCTTATTTACAGCAAATACAGTATACAGATCATGTTAGGTGACACGTACATTAGATACTACAAAAGAATTTTCAAATGACAAATACAGAAAGGTATAGTCCTTGTATTGTGTACATTCCATGAGCATCATATGGACAATTACACCCCTAGTTCTTACATGAAACACGTCGGCAACGACACATGCAATCATAGTCTAAGGGAGCTAACTCCGAGTACCGATAATCAGATGAAAAGTGTAAACAGTCAACGTTAATTAAGTTACATCCATATTTCAAATCTATGTGGTACAATACTTAAGTTGTGTAATACTTGAATGACAGTGTATTATGTTCACTCACTCCAATCGTGTTATTAAGAGATAAGATAGAAGGTCCCTCTTGCAGAAACAAAATTACTCACAGATTTGTGCAAAACATTATTAGGGAATTTCACAATACAGATTAGTGATCTATATAGATATTTCTCATCACAAAACAAATGTAGAAGAAGGCAACAGCTCAAACAGCATTTTCATTTAACCCTCCTTTTCAAATCAAAGTCTAACATGATTCATTTCTAAATACATCCAAGCTGAATTATTTCAAATGTTCTGTTATCATCATTACATAACCATCAATAAAATGACATTACTGAAAAGCATGAAGAGGATTAAACATGGCCTAATTGGACAGTGAAAAAATGTAAGGACAAGAAGATTTTTCTTCAAGAACGTCTCCAAAAAACAATTGTGCAATTTCTCAAATGATAATATGAGAGATATGAACATATCTGACAGTGTATTTCTGTAATTGTAATTTAAAATCCGATTCCTGAGTCCCACTTTCCTGTCATATGTGACGTACAATACAAACCACTCTCGCTATAAAGCCAGCACACCATAGTAGATCTTGTATATTATAACATACACAGGAGCAAATTGGTCAGCACTAGATAAATATCACAAAAATAAAGGATCATTGGTTCTACTTTATAACATCACAAGTAGATATAACATGTCATAATAAATAGCTACACCTACCAGGCCTACACTGGAAAATGGTTATAACGTAGGTGAGCAGAAAATAGTGTATATGTGGGAAATATTGTGAATGATGTCATGTTTATCATACACAAGCATTGGCAAACAGTGCTTTTGTATAGTAGTGACTAGGTTTCATACTGGTGGTTAAGCATGTGTAAAGTGGAAATTACATGTAGTTATGTGGTACTATCATCTGGGTGTATATGTTTTAGATTTTCTGTGAAATATGTGTAACTATTGTGTCTTTCAATGTTTATGGCTACTAATACTATAGGTTCGGTAACTGAGACGTTCCACACAATGACTACATCACATTAACCATTCCAATATTTTTCACAAACATATCTTGAAGTGAAAACTATAATTCACAAACCATTGATTTATTATTTATTGATTTGTTTAAAATATTCCCTACTAAAATCTCATGATCATACAAGAGTTGTAAGAGAAATTTAGGCAAATGTTGATGGAATTAAGAAAAAATATGGATAGTTTAAAATAAAATCAGAGAAAAGGGCAAATTATAGTACCATTTTCAACAGATTAAATATGTTAAAAACTTCTAAAAACGTGGCCTAATGCAATTCATTACATGATAATTCACAACTCAACGTTTGTGTAATAGGGACCCGTGGCCTAATCATCTAAATAAAGTGAATTGAACGCGTGTCAGTAGAGTGAGTGAGTTTAGTTTTATGCTGGTTTCAGCAATATTCCATCAATACCACGGCGGGGGACACCAGAAATGGGCTTCACACATTGTATCCATGTGGGGAATCGAACCCGGTTCTTCAGCGTGACGTACGAGTGCTTTAACCACTAGGCTACCCCACTGCCCCCGTGTCAGAAGTATGTAGTGACAACACCCGATGGCTGGGACACACTGACGTGTATCTCAGTGGGCGGTGGGTAGGTTGGGTGGAGATGACTGGGTCAGTAAGCCGGGATTTGCCTTATTGCAACACGGGAATACCTAGCAGGTGCCCCAGTTCTGTTATCGGTCATTACTCACTATGACGTCTATTATGCAGTGTCGGATGTTCAACAAGCCCGCGACCAATTTCAATCGGCATGTCTGTTAGTAGGTATGTTAACTTGCAATATTCACTCACTATCCAGTTAGGGCCCATGCAGGTAGCAAAAGTACTGTAAGTCCCCATGGTCCCTAGTATGGTGATCTACCTTTAGTTGTTTGCATTTATAGTTAAATAGTTTAGATTTAATTACTAGCTATAAATTTATTTCTGTGATAATCTACTTGTTTTACTGTCCTTTGCAGACAGGTAAGTATAATAGCTAACTTTTTAAACATTTATTTTACAGCTTTCTTAGTCACGATATGGCTGGAATCCTGCCGATGTGACTTTAAATATTAACTCACTACAACGCTTCCCTTTAAAACTATTCACTACTATAGAGACACACCTTCATAAGTGGAGGGGAGGGTAGAGAAGGGTACCTGCAAATTTTGTTTGGCGAGTAGCTACGTAGTCTTTCACACACCTGTAGGGGCGGTGGGGTAGCCTAGTGGTTAAGACGTTAGCTCGTCACGCTGAAGACCCGGGTTCAATTTCCCAAGTGGGCAAAAAGTCTGAAGCTCACTTCTGGTGTCCCCCGTCGTGATATTGCTGGAATATTGCTAAAAGCGGCGTAAGACTAAACTCACTCACTCATACACCTGTAACATCAAAATCAAAACTGAGCCGCAATATTTGTACAAAAACACAATTACAACAGCGTACATTTTATGACAGAAATACAGGATATAATTTTCAGATTCTGAAGCATAATTATTTTGACAATAATTCACTGGGTCAATGCATCTTTTTCGACAGCTCCCAGCTCCCCACTCCAAGAATTTTAAAAGGGCGTTTGAGAAGTAAATGCTATTTCAAGTGCGACCTGTTTCAATTTGTTTACCGATGATAACCTCAAGTGACAGGACACTAACATGAGCAGTGTGTGTAATTTGCAACGCCAAATTGTTTCGTGTTGAATCCCAAGCTGAAACTTAGGTTATAGCCCGGGGAAGACACATTAACGAAAAACAGAATTGAAAATTGTGTGGCTCAACCGGCAACGGGGATGGTTGAGTGATCGTATGAATGCTGCTCTCCCGGCAAAAGTATCAATATTTTGCCATTTAGACAGCGGCAGGGCAGGGCAGGGCAGGGCAGGGCAGGGCAGGGTACGGTACGGTACGGTACGGTAGGGTAGTTCGGAGGTTCTTATACGCCGCTCTGTTATCTCCCACCTGTTAGAGAAAAATAACTAACAAATATTCTTTTATGTCATTGTTTATTCGATTAAAGAGTTTGGTGGTATTTTTCCAAACACTATGTACAATTTGTGTGGTAAGTTGTTGAATAAACGTTTATTTCATATGCAGGTGTCAGACCATGTACAGATCTCCTCTTAACAGGGCTAAAACCAGTTAAACCACTTCCCATCAAGATACCTGTCAGTCGGGAAGGATTACATATCAGGTGTCTTGAAACATCGTGTACATTGCTCGGTCTCAATGGCAAACTATGTCACATACACGACCTGGGCTCACTAGCAATCTGAACTACTAGTTTGCAAATAATTCTAATTCAGTTTACACATACTTTAACCTCACCAACAGAACATGAACGATGTATATTTATGAAGACAGTCTATGTTGGCATATTCTCGTTGATTCGTGTAAACTGCAATGTTACGACAATAGCAAGCCGGAAATCATAAGAAATCATATGATAATCTATGGATGATAACTTCTTTATTCAATAACAAAGGGCAGATTATTCAAAAGTAATTCAAACATTTAAATTTTAAAAGCAATAATTTCCGAAAAATCATGTCCAATGATTCACAATTTCTGGAGCAATGGCGGATTAAGATTTCCTTCAATTTCAAGTGGAGGACCCATTTGGCTAAAAAAGGCATCGTTTGGCAGCTGTTTGGGGTTGAAATATTTATTCCTATTTTTCAACAGTTTTCTGAGTTCTTTGCACCAAAAATGTGCTGAGTTCGAACTATCAGCTCCAGAGCTTTCCCAATTTCCATACTTTGTGTCCAGGAACTACTCTGCACACACAGTGCCTAAACGTGCCTTCGATGCCCGCCATGCTGAGTGCTACGTATGAGCCAAAGTTCTCTTCAAAACTTCCCAAGTCTTCTTCACGATTTTTTCAAAAGCAAACTTACCAGGGAGGTCCTGAACAACAAAAACTACTTTCGAAAGGTCGTAAATCTATGTTAAAGTATGGGAGTTACGATCATCTTAGCTCTACGATCGTTTTGTGGAACGGGGCCAGGGACACTAACACCTATAACTCTGAAACCAGCCGTCCGATTTCGATCACAATTTGCCTGTGAATGTAAGCTATCGGTATCGACTATACGTACCATTTGCAGTAATATAACTTCAAACACAAAGGAGAGACAAGTAATATTCTATTTTGCTCACTACAGTTCTTAGTCTTCATCGGTTCTCCACAGAGCATGTATCTCAACAGTTTGCTGATCATTTTCATGTTCCGTTGGGCATGTTAAACGTATCACCGTTTGTTGGTTAGATACATAAAGGTGAACTGAATAAGCTGAAAGAAGCATCATGTAAATCTACCAACAATTCCCTTCCAACTGCTTTCTGGCAGTGCCCAAAGAGCCCAATTCGGTTTTCTGCAGTTTGTATGTAAACTGTATAGGTGACCTGTTTCCATGAGTTGTATTCCCAGTATAGTTTCTTGCTCTAGCGTCACAGCTTCAGAAACCATGAGACAGTGTAATGGACTTGGATAAAAGCTACAGAAAAACCTCACTTTCTGTTGATTATAAATACCTTACACGATCAGTTGAAACAGTGCAAAGGATATTTATATGGACTATAATATTACAGCACACGAGCGCCTCACGTCAATATTTCTACCCCTTACCTCCCCAGAACAAAATGGGTGACCACTTCCTCCTACTACACGTAGTAGTTCTAACATTTTATTAGGCATTTATAAGACATTAATATATACTTTTTGACATATACTTTGAACCCAAAGTTTGACCAGATTTAAGATTTCTATCGTATGTCTACATAACTCTATGAAGTTCGCTTGAAAAAATGTTCGACCGGTAGAGGTCGTGAGCTTCGATTTAATGCAACGTTGCATTAATTCATTCATACTTTTTAATTTAATATTGTAATCTAAATGACGTTTTGAACAAATTGTATGTTAGCTTCCCTGAGGGCTGATAGTTAGTATTATTGAGAGAAATGCATTATTTATTTTTAGAGAAGTGTGGTGTGATGTAGTGCCTTTAAGTATGCCGATTCAACTGCAAGACAAATGTTTGGTCCGAGCCAATAAAACTGACCCACAGTGTGTTGTTAAACAGACAGACAGACAGGCAGACATAGAGACAGATAGATTATTTATTAAAGTCTCACCTCCCTTTTTTTAAATGAAATACATATGGTATAGAGTATAAACGTGTCAAAAGGGAGACTATGATTACAAAAAATAGATATTCTTCTGTAATTCTTACACGTTTTTCTTTACTTACAAGTATCAGAATCTCTGAACAGTCGTAATTCCAATTATGTAACTGGATTTTCCGGTTCATTGATCACTTGATTGTCTGGTTTGATTTCAAGCCGACGTCAAATGGCAGGAATACCGCCATGCTGCGTCAGACAAAAACATATTTCCAGGTTTAGCTACATTTCGTGAATGGAAAGTGCCTCGGTAGTACAGGACACGTTCACCACTCATTTTCAGTGATCCATTTCATATTATTTTCAGATCTGTTTGACATAAGGAAGCATCCTTAAAATAGCTTAAATGCTCCCATTAGCTGCATTTCAATGGACGGGGGTCTGATGTAAATTAAAAGAATGTCCTAGGTAATTTTTGCATATATTCCTGAAAATAGATCACTGGAAACGTTTGTTGTGTTCCTTAAGATAGACTTACGTTTGAATTCATATCATGTGAATCACATTGAATTTGAACCTTTTTCAGCTAAGGTCACGATATTTTCTGTTTTCCTGACTGTTTGAACAAAGGATTGCTCTATTTTGAGGTTCATTTTCCCAAGTGATAGTCTTAAATCAAAGACAGTATGCTTTGTAATGAATTAATCTAAACTTCCATGACTTCCAGTACGTCCAGATTTTGACTAGCACCGTAAATACAGTGGAAGCCCTCCAAACCGGCATTCGTTGGGACCGGCAATAAATGCCGGTATAGAGCTTTGGAGAACTTTCCCTTTTTAACCTGAGAATGATCTTCCGTGTGCCGTGAAAGACGACTGAACAACGTGTTGAAAGTCATCATATTATTCATTCATCAGTCTGTCAAAACATGAGGTGATGTCATCCATTCAGTTAGTGCAAATGACAAAGTTGCAATGGAACCTCAACCATTATTCGTTTCTTAGAAGTTCTAACAAAGTCCAGAACTGTTTCCAAAGTCGCAAGTGTCATGATCCAAAACCAGTACACCGTTTGTATCTAAGCTAGGACGATGATAATTCATTGTTAAAGTAAATGAAGGAATCATTTCCCATTACTGGAAGTGACACCTCACATACAAGATTACCATTTACTATTTTAAGAAGCAGGTGTAATCGTTTGATTGCAAAATTTGCGAGGAAGAAAAAGACAAATTCAAGAAGTTCTAAGTGGGTAATTAAGTTCTCTGGTTTTAAAGCAAGAAAAGACCATGGAACCATACATTGCTGCTTTGAATTATATTTGTCTTCCTTTGTCACTTTGCCTGTATCTTAAAATATGTTATATTAGCCAATATAATATCTGAACGAAAACTGTGAGAATGTGTTAACATAATATGAACTAAAGGCACTACAAAGCACAAAATGTTAAACGCTAACCACTACCCACCCGCCCCTAAACATTGCAGAATACAGTTTATCAGAAAAAGGACATCTATGAAAATAATTTTAATTTTAAACTTTAAAATATGTGCAAACGAGTGATAACAAGTACAGCAGCTAGTTTGTGGTTATAAATGTCATATTGGCCGAGTATAAAAACAGTCGGCTACACAATAAGGTATTCTTCCCCACTGCCTAGCAAGCAACGTTTTTGACGAGCTCCGCTCTGTCGTGGTATTGGGGCGGTGGTTCGTCATGGTATTGGGGCGTTGGCGGGTCATGGTATTGTGCCAGAGGTGGGTCCGAGGGTGTCACGTAGCCTCCTTGGGGTGTCTTGTGTGTCATATCGGCTCCGTTAGGAGGCAAGTAGGTGCCCTGGGGTGTCACGTACTGGGGCGAGACGTGTCTGGTGCTGCTCATTTGTACAACACTGGCCATTTGGGGCACTTGTTGATTGATCATGGGTGGCGTCTCCTGAAAAGATAATGGTTGGTAAAACTCATTTTGTTTGATATAATCCAGAATCATCAGTTTGCAAGCAAAATTCCCAACCCTCACCAAGAAACCCAAAAGGTTAGAGAATCATTTATTCACACTATAACTGATGAACAAACGATTTGAACATCAATTTATTTCGTATTTCAGTGTGTAAAAGTCAAATATGTATTTCAAACCTTTGGTTTTGTGAGTTTTGCTAAAACTGTTAAGGAATATTATGAGGAAAGAAACGCAATTATTATTTATTGAAAGCTTCCAGATTATATGTTACTTGTAGCTTCAAGTCGTTAGTGTCTTCGTGTATAATGTAAAATCTCCATCGTACAGGTCACACAAATCCGAAAACGTGTCTGGTTTAAAACCTTGCTCACTCACTCACTCAAATCCGAAAACTCTGTAGTTTCTGACAACTACTGTTTGGAAAGTCTTAAAGGGGGCGAATAAGTGAATATGACTTAAAGCCTTTTTTCTCCTCATTGGTACAATGTGTAACACCCATTTTCGCTGACCCGTGATGTTGCTGAAACATTGCTAAAGGCGCCGTGTAACCACTCTCACTCACTCACTCACTCAAAACCACAGCTGTACTGATAGAAAGACATCACGTTGGAACCAGTGAGTGACTTTAAGTATAGGTCCGAACTATCGCCATATCTTTTGATCTTGCCTCACACATAAACGTCGTTTTCTGATTGACATAGCACTCTTTTATTATTTTCAATGTACCCCGCTTACAAGCGAGTAACATTTTCTATGTACCCCGCTCGGAATGACGAACTCATTTGGTACTTTGTAGTAGTAATTCTATATCTCGAATAACATTGAATCACGTAATGATGTACGGAAATTACCGATGTTTTGCGAATGCAAATCGATGGAAGGAAGATAACTCTAAATGTGTTTTTCTTGTCTTGTACTCCATACTCATTCGTGACCAACTCGTGTTATTCTGGGACAAGCCGAGGTTACGGAAAGGGGCGAGTGGTGACGAATGCTCCATACTATGATCCGATACCCGTGCTTCAAACAGTTCAAAATTACCATTGAGGTGTTTGCTAAGATAAATACGTTGTTCACTGGTCCCTCGGGGCCCTTCAGCCTCAGGGAACGTAAACAAACATCAGCCGATGTCCCCCTCGAGACCAGTAAACAACTTATAATGTCGCATATGAGTTTATTATATATACCTAGAAAATAATAAAGTACAGCTTTCAATGCATTTCAAAGTGTATGAATAATTGTTGAAAAAGTTGTTGTTTGTTTGTTCGTTTGCTTGTTTGTTTGTTTAACTTCTCACGGATAAATGCCCCAGCTATATGGCGGCGGTCAATAATTAATATAAACACCTGAATCCATTGATGCATATTTCCACCCGAAAAGCGGCCCATTTTTTTACTTGCAAAAAACAAGTCGCTTTCCTGCGAGTACACCTATCAAATGAGTCAAAGTTGTTCTAAATTGGCCTTGTAAATATGTTTATAATAAACTCCCTTCTTGAGACCGACAGATCTGTTCGTGAAATATCAGGGACATTGGAGAAAATGAGATTGGTGTCATAATTATGTTGACTGAGCGAGGAGGTTTGGTTGTTTAACGCTTCTTGGACTAGTATTCCACATATATAACATGTACCTCTTTAACGAAACACGGGGTATGTTCCAGGGGAGCTAACTCTTTCGTACTTATATCATTTACTCTTTGGCGGAACCCATGAAAACGGGTATGTTCCAGGGGAGCTAACTCTTTCGTACATATATCATTTACTCTTTGGTGGAACCTATGAAAACGGGTATGTTCCAGGGGAAGTAACTCTTTCGTACTTATATCATTTACTCTTTGGCGGAACCCATGAACACGGGTATGTTCCATGGGAACTAACTCTTTCGTACTTATATCAGACACCTCTTTAACGAAACCCATGAGCTAACTCTTGCGTGCATATCTCATTTACCACTTTGGCAAAAACCATGAACACTGATATGTTCCATAGGAGCTAACCCTTTACTGTTTCCCTGGAGGTCAGGGGTCACAATCAGCCAGTCGAATAGCTTGAATATGTGTACACTGTGCAACATCAGACAACTAGGCACTGACATGACAGGTGTAATGGTAGATACTGTTATGTGAGATATGATGTTGTCAGTTATGATAATGACAGGTTTTGGTGATTCCCGGGTATGATGATAATGTCTGTTATAATTATGACAGGTGTGATATGACGGGATAATATGGTAATGTTAGAGACCACATTGTCAGAACTGATTAAGACAAGGATGATAATAAGGTATGGGATAATGACATACATGATAATGTTGTCTGTGATAGTGACAGGTATCATAGTTTTGAATGTGATAATGACCGGTATGATAAAGGTGGTAGTAATAGTGACAGATATGATTTTGTTGGATGTAATAATTACAGGTATGATAATGTTGGATGTAATAATTACAGGTATGATAATTTTGGATATTATAATTACAGGTATGATAATGTTGGATGTAGTTATGACAGATATGATATTGTTGGATGTAATAATTACAGGTATAATAATGTTGGATGTAGTTATTACAGGTATGATAATGTTGGATGTAATAATTACAGGTATGAAAATGTTGGATGTAGTTATGACAGGTATGATACTGTTGGATTGAATATTTACATGTATGATAATGTTGGATGTAATAATTACAGGTGTGATAATGCTAGATGCTGTAATGCCGTGTACTATTAAACACTTGGTATTCATGTAAAGTCAGGTGTGACGTACCGGGCGTCTGTTGCCAAGGATACCAGACATGATACAGTTGGCCAGTGTCAGCAGCCAGGCCAGGATGAGGATGACAGGAATGCCCACGATTGTCCCGTACGTTGATTCACATCTGTCCCGCGCCGATGTTAAATAGTACCTGTATAATGAATACACAATGCCAATAAGAAAGTGGTCAAAAGTAACACAAGTACTGATTCTGAATTTGTGAAGTGTGTGTTATATCGCATGTGTTATAGCTGTATAATATACACATTACAATGGTAATGCTGCACCAGAACCAGCCTTTCTTCTTCTTGCACACATACGTGTACATTTTATAAATGTTTCGAGATTGTCGTGTTTAATGCTTCACTCATCAAGGTTGCAGCTGGACGGTGTTCTGTTAATAATTGTCCCTGGACCAAACTCTCGTATATTTGACATCATCACCATCGATCTGATATGATGAGGGGCGGTGGGGTAACCTGGTGGTTAATGCGTTTGCTCGTCACGCCTTAAATCCGGGTTCGATTCCCAACATGGGTACAATGCATAAAGCCCATTTTAGTGTCCCCGCTGTGATATTGCTGGATTATAGCTAATAGCGGCGTAAAACTAACTCATTGATACGATGATATGCCTCAAGCAAGTCAGGGAACCCCGTTAATTGCGGCACATAAGACAACCACGAAGTGGTCCAGACAGAAGGCAGTATGCTTAATATACACAAAGAACTTAGTTAAGCACCCCCAGACATGTCTCACGATTGAATAAGGGACCGTTCATAATTTATGACCAGGGGGTAAGTGACCCTCCCTGCATGTCATATCAATGACCCCTCCCCTTCCCATATTTTGTAAGCCTAATTTTTAAATACTTTAATGCACAAAATTGATGCCCCCTCTCGAACATGTGTACAAAATTGAAGACCTCCCTACCTCCCAAGAACAAAATGGGTGACCCCCCCAAATCATCATCACCTAAGCACCGATCTTAACCCTTTGGGGCATATCTAGGACATGATTGGTCATCGTGTACAACAAAGGAATCCTCCTGTACAGAACTTGGCCCAGTTGGAAGCTGCTTTACACGAGGTATGGCGTAGACTGCCCCTTCAGAGGATCAGGAAGCTGACACGGGGTATGAGGAGGAGCGTGCTGGCTGTCATACAGTCACATGGCGGTTACACTTGGTATTGACCTTGAATCGTGTAAGACTTGCAAAATGATATTTGGAATGTTCACATTTACCAATAAATTCAACATTACACATTCCAGGGCCAAACCAGAAATGGTTTTGTATGAAAATCAGTGTTATAAAATGAGCAATAGTCATCATAAAAGCAACATAAATTCCAATCATTTTGTCGTTTTTCATGAGTCAAAGGATCATACGGATCATTTTTATGAACAACTTGAAAACCTGTCCTTGCTAAATTACAGGGGGTAATTAATTAAGTTCTTTGTGAATATATAAACTGTGGTCTTTCAGTGTATGTATAAAAAAAGACTTATTTATGTATTTACGGCACTGTCCTACCTGTCAGAGCAGAGGTCGATGGTGCTGAAGGCAGACAACAGCATAATAGCAGTGTAACTGACGTAGGCCATCAGGCAAAGGGTCACCATGCAAAACACGAGGTGGGTGATGTACTGGAATGCAATCACATTTATCTGAACTTACTTATGAAATACTTGCAGTTTATTGGACAAGTCAGAGTTGGAAAAAAGTGACCAGCTAGTGATAGTGCGAAAAGCTTCATTGCGTATTGTTAGTCAATTTGAGGACAAAAAGAAGCCCAAGGGGCGTTTTTAAAAAAACTTAGTTTATTTTAGTTAGACAGTTGTTTGCATGTCATATCTAACCTGTTGTATGCATATCTCAGCAGCTGCAATATGAACACTTTTATTAATATCTGAACAGCTGCATGCATATCTGAACCGTGGTATTCATAACTGAACAGCTGCAAGCATAAATAACACTCGTATTCATATCTGAACAGTAGTATGCATGTCTGATCAGGTGTAATCATATGTAACAGGTGTATGCATATCTGAACAGTTGCATGCATATTTGAACAGTTGTATTCATATCGGAACAGTTGCACGCTTATCTCAACAGTTGCATGCATGTCTGAACAGTTGTATTCATATCGGAACAGTTACATGCATGTCTGAACAGTGGTATTCATATCAGAACAGTTGTATCTATGTCTGAACAGGTGTATGCATGTCTGATCAGTTGCATGCATGTATGAACAGTACGCGTGCACGAAAGTTCTATACATTCAATAACAGCATATGCATGTATGAACAGTTGTATGCATGTATGAACAGTATTACGCATGATATATAACTAAAACTTCCACTTACGAGACAAGTTTTTTGGTCGCAGCAGCAACGATCCCACAAATCCCAGAAGTTATATGCTGAAAAGAAAATGTAATGTTTAATAATGTTCAAGGAAATGGAGAACTATACAGGCTGAGGCTTCTATTTTACGTTTGCAGCAATATATTTGTATGCTCGAAAGGTCTGGCAGGCAAGATAACCGCCCCCATGATGCAGGGGATGGTGACTTTGCCCAGAAAACGAAAGGTCTGTGGTCCGATCTCCAGCTGCATCTATAGTCTAGCATTTAATTGCTCCATCATTGTGAATTATTAATTTCATGAATTGTGATTTAATAATAAAAACAAGTTGTTCAACAAACTATCTTTAAATATTGACAGCGTTCACTATTTTCTTACAAGGGAGGAGTGCAGAAAGAAGACACAGCTAACGCGTTCGGTTTTTAAATTACATTTAGCGGTCTTAAATCAAAATTGAAAACAGAGTAGCTTTATCTTCTAAGTGAGATAACACATGTAATTCTGGATCAATTACAGTCACGGTATAAAACGCAGCTGTAATAAAAAGCTATAAATGCTCAAAAATATGGTTAAAGGAAAATGAATGTTCTTTCAATTTTTAATTGCATAAGATAGAAACTCGATATTCTTCAAATAGATTTTGAATACGTAGGCCTAAGGTTATTGAGGGATACGATATTTAAGCAAGTAGGCTTCCCCAGGAGCAACGAATATCCGTTTGATTTGAAAAACAAAACGAAGGTATTTGGCAAATATCGATGATCTGGTCAAAACTAATGTCAAGTACTTGATGTCCTCCCACTGATTTAGATGGTGAGGTAAAATCGGATTTAACGTCGTACTTAACAATATTTCGCTCATCTGACGACGTGCATGTATGTGTGGCTGCTTTTACAAGCCCAGACTTAAGCTAGTTTTATAGTGCTAACCCACTGAGATACCATGCCGCAGTTAAGCATGAGTACCCCACTCAGACACATTATGCTGACTAGGAGCTGACCAGTCCTTGTTGTACCTATTAATGGCGAGCGCCAGGCAGGGACCAACAAGAGCTATAAGAGGAATTCAACTTAGAAAAACAGAATCTTATGGTATGAAGAAGGAGAAACAGCAACAAAATACTTCTGTCATTTAGAAAATAGAAATTATGTCAGCAAAGCAAATAAGAATGAGGAAATTACTGACAGTAAATCAATATTAAATGAACTCTCATAATATAAAAAACTTTATTCTTCAGACAAGAATTATAAAAATGAAGACCACTTAGACAATGTAATATTTTCAATCTTGAGTGACCAATTTAGAGACAATTTGGAAAAAGAAATAGAGATGAAACATCATTTGCAGTAAAAAGTATGAAGAAAAACAAAAGCCCTGGAAATGATGGATTTCCTATAGATTTCTTCAAGTACTTTTGGAAAGAACTCAAAATTTGAATTTTTAGATTTATCAATGATGTTTCAAGAAGAAATAAGATGTCTCTTACCATGAAGAGAGGAGTTATCACTTGTATACCTAAAGCTAATAAAGACAGGGCCTTATTAAAGAACTGGAGACCAATTACTTTATTAAATGCTTTGTATAAAATAATTAGTGCATGTATCTCTAACCGGTTAAAAATCACCTTAGGCTCTCTGATACATAATAACCAGACTGGATTCATACAGGGTAGAACTCTTTATTATATGATCTTATATTTGAAACAAAGAAAAGAGATATTCCTGGTCTGCTGATTTTAAATGACTTCGAAAGAGCTTTTGACACAGTTTCTAAAGATTTTATCAACTCTGTTTTACTAAAATTTGGTTTTGGACCACAGATTATACGCTGGATTAATTTATTAACTTATGATACAACATAATGTGTTATTCAGAATGGACATCTCTCTGATTTCTTCCCTAATGAGCGGCTTTGCAGGCAAGGTGACCCAATATCGCCTTATTTGTTTCTTTTTGTAGCTGAAATCCTTGGATGTATGATAAGACAAAATGATGATATAAAGGGTATTGTAATTGATGTTCAGGAATATAAATTAGGACAATATGCTGATGATACTGAATTATTTTTGGATGGTTCAAATCAAAGTTTGTATGCTGCTATTGATACCATTAATACTTTCTACAATATGTCAGGGTTAAGGATAAATATCGATCAGACTAAAGCAATCTGGATAGGCTCAAATGCAGGTAGCAGATATATGATTTGTGAAGATTTGAATATAGAATGGCAAAGAAAGGAATTTGAAGTTTTGGGTGTTAAATTCACACCTGATTTGAATGACTTATGGGTAATCAACACAAGAAAAAGACTTGAAGAAATGAATAGATTATTGGCAACATGGAGAAAAAGACATCTCACACTGATTGGCAAAATCACTGTAATTAAAACATTGGCTCTTTCAAAACTGGTTCACATTTTCAATTCTTTACCTAATCCACCTGATGAATTTATCACTTCCCTTGAGAGACTATTTTTCAGATTCATTTGGAACGACAAAAATGATAAAATTAAACGGAGCACTTTGAAAAAGGATTATACAGAAAGGGGTTTATGCATGATAGATATTAAAACCTTTGTTAATGCCATGACATTATCCACACTCAGACTCTATTTGAGAAAACAAATATGAGTAATCCATGCAATTTTCCATTAAATGAAATACTAAAATATGGAGCAAATTTTCAGAATATTGTTGAAATTGATAATCCTTTTTTGAAAGATGTTTTATTGGCATGGAAATTATACTGTAATAAGAATATCATAGAAGCAGACAACATTAAAGGAATTTTAGCACAACCCTTTATTACTGAATAATAATTTCAAAAACCCAAATCACTTTATCAGGCATTGGGCTAAAAATGGAATTTTATCAATAAAGGACCTTTGTAATGAAGATGGTTTTATGTCTCTTGACGATCTGAAGCTCAAATTTGATATTAGAGGCACATATATGGATCTTCGATATGTTTTCTATATCATACCTGAATCATGGAAATTGACCATAAAACAATACAGAAATATACATAACAATGATCTGGATGATAACTTTCTTCATAAAGATTTTATGGATTTGAAAAAAGGTTCAAGATTATTTTCTGATAAACTCTTATCTGACAATATTAAACCTCACATTTGCCTATAATGGGAAAACTTATTTTACGATATTGATTTTGATTGGCGTATGATTTCTAATATCTGCAGAAGGAATGTGAAAGATGTAAAAGTTTTAGACTTTCAATTTAAATTTTTGCACAGAATTATTTATACAAAAAAAGAACTTATGAAAATGAAACTGGTTGACAATACAGTATGTAGCCTTTGTAATGTTGATAGTGAAACTTTATGTCATGTATATTGGGAATGTGTTGTAACCCAAACCTTCTGGAAAGAACTTGAAAACTGGATAATCCAAAATAAACAGAAATTTGAAATAACAAAGACCTTGGTTTGGTTTGGAATTTGGGGTAATAAGCTATTACTAAATCATATAATCTTATCTGCTTAAAAATATATATATACTTGCACTTTGAAGAAAATAATTCCAAAAGTTAATATTTTTTTACAAATTTTGAAAGACATTTATACGGTTGAAAATTTCATATCCAGAAGGAACAATAAATCTGATAAATTTTCAGACAAATGGTTTCCTTTATTCTCAATATTTAATTTCTGACGTAATCTTTAATCAAAGGGGAATAATTTTACTGGAGGATATTCTCTCTATGCTATCAGTTGACCTAACATTTTTGTTGAACCCAATGAACTTTGATCATGTATTTATGCATTTATTGCTTTACTTTATATGCTTGTACTCAATTATGGGAACAAATAAAAAGATTTAAAAAACACCAAAAAAAACAAGAGCTATATTTTAACGTCTTTTGGTATGACGCGACGGGTGTCGAACCCGCAACCTTCCACTCTCCGGGCGGACGCTCTAACCACTACCACGGAGGCGGTCCATTTGATTTAGAAGGGCTGAAATATGAACAAGGCTGTGTGATAGGACGATTACATCAGCTGTGTAATAATCAGCTGTTTTGTGTTACGAACATCACAGCATCTCCAGTATTTGGGTTGTAAATTTCACAACATTTGAGGTGAAGGTATAACAAACTTTCCGAAACTGTTATGACAGTGAGTGAGTGAGTTTAGTTTTACGTCGCACTCATCAATATTCTAGCTATATGGCGACGGTCTGTATATAATCGAATCTGGACCAGACAATCCAGTGATCAACAGCATGAGCATTGACCTACGCAACAGGGATTCGATGGCAAGTGTCAACCAGCGAACCTGAACCTGACCACCCGATTTCGTTAGGCCCCTCTTACGACAAGCATGGGTTACTGAAGATCACTTCTAACCCGGATCTTCACGGAATCTGTTATGGCAGACGTGAGGAGGATCTTCCACAGTCGACGCATCAATGACCTAAATTTCCCAATTACTCAGTTGTACATTATGAATTTCTACCTCACAATGAAAATTGATATGATTTGAAAATTAATTCAGTGAATTAATAAAATTGTCCCTATTTCCATTTCTCCTTACTTTTTATGCCGATACTTTACGTGTATTTGCGTGTATTTGGGATGGAAGCGGAAAATACGCGAGTTCATGGCACCAGTTATATTTATAGCCGGAATCAGACAATGGTCAATATTGTTAGCAGAGCTTCTTTATGGAAATGGAAAGGTTTAGGCACATGTTTATCCTCTTGAAATACTTACCGCAAAGCAATAGGCCCATGCATGGGTCGACGAGTGGGAGGTGGCGACAGGACCCGTCAGTGCACCATAGATAATTCCTGGAATACATCAGTATTATCCTGATAATTCTGGCTCATGGAACCAAGTTAACTGGGGCGGTGGGGTAGCCTAGTGCTTAAATCGTTAGCTCGCCACGCCAAAACCCGGGTTCGACTCCCCACATGGGTACAATCTATTAATCACATTCCTGCTGGTGTTATTCATGTGTTAATACTAAAATAGTGCTATAAAAAGGCAAACCTAAACTCACTCACTCGAGGTTAATTACAGATTGTTCTTAATGCAATTATTGTAGAACTGGTTGAGAAATACATCTCCTTATGCAGATGAATTGCTTGATGTGAATCAAGCATCAAATTGCTGAAAAGCATGTGTAAATATCATGCATTTGAACAGCTGCGTTTTGGTGTGACGTTTTGATAAGAATTCGCAAATTTTCACTGAGTTTCATCATTTATTGAACTCAAGACAATAATCTTTTCAATGATACGAATTTGTTTTACAATACTTCAGTTCATGTGTAAACAGTACCTTTAAACAGTATGGAATATTTAGCAAACTTTAGTTTAGAACAATTGTCTGAAGTGAGTGGCTATATTTGCACTAGTGAGTCGACACCTTTGATAGGAAGTGTATGATATGATAGTGCGATAGTGCTAAGCATAGTATTAGCACGTTAGTTGGTTGGTTGCTTAACGCCGACCTTCCAGCTTTATGGCGGCGGCCTGTACATAATCGAGTCTGGACCAGACAATCCAGAAATTAACATTAGCAAGGAATGTACGCTGTTCTGGAACGTACTTTATCGAGTTCACCCAATATATGGGTATGGTCTCTGTTACAAGAGAACGATCTGAAAGCATTTCTAAATTTTAAAAGTCGCTTACCACACAAAAGAACAAATCCAGAAATGACCCCGTAGGCCACGTTCAATCTTTGCCTCTGCTCCATGGCGTCACTGTCCCACGTTGCCCAGTGTTTGTGACAACCAGTTCTCAAAATACAGCTATCAACTACGCTATTTCGTGCCACGTGACTCAGCGGATGTCACGTGATGAACATTTTATCCGAAATATTTCTATAGCTATTGTGCAATATAAACTAACACCATGAACGACAACTCATTATGTAATACTATGGAACAGTTTGTTTACATGTTGTTTAACGCCGCACTCAAAGAAATGAGTGAGTTTAGTTTTACGCTGCACTCAACTTTATTCCAGGCTTAAGCTATATGGCCGCACTCTGTAAATAATCGAGTCTGAACCAGATAATCCAGTGATCAAAAGTTTGAACGTCGATCTACGCAACCGGGATATGTGTCAACCAAGTCAGCGAGCCCTCCACTCGATCCCGTTAGTCGCCTCTTACCACAGGCATGGGCTACTGAAGATCAATTCTAACCCGGATCTTCACGGGTTCAATATCAAATGCACTCAAGGGATTCGACGCCATGCATCAACCACCCGATCCGGTTCCTTGGCAAAGGATGGCAATAAAAATCCAGTCGGGCCAGAACATCTCACAGTCTCTGGCCCGAATGGCTAGTGAATTTTCATGGGGTCATTCAGTAAACATATCACTCTCCGACTTTGAATTTTAAATTACGCAAGATTATGACCTGATAAAAATGTTCATCATATTAGCAGCTTAATGATGTAACCCGTTTCATGCCGACAATATATTTTTCTATTTATCTATATCTATTTTTATAATCTTTTGCTTGATTGTACATTCACATTTCGGGCTAGTGAATTATTTTGTGGGCCAGTAACTTTCAGGCATAGTTAGGCACGACTGGCTAGCAAAATGAGGAGACTATTTCGCACACTTGTTGTAAGTTTGAACATTATGTTACATTATTGTTGGAACATGACAAAACTGGGGCGGTGTGATCAAATTCATTCCTAAGACCAGTCTCCTATACAGTTTATCTGAACACCATCACATACATTGCACATGTCCGGGAATGTCAAATAACAGGTAAACATTTCTCACGACACAAAGTCACTCAAATGTATTAAATGTTCAAGTAACAACAGCCTGTCTGTACATCCGGGTTGACAAATGGGATCGTGCAGTTCAAAATTGTCATATATTCACTTGTGTATATTGTGCTGTAAGCGAGGAAACCTGCCCATGTGGAAAGGTTGTCTTTATGGTAGTCGAGAGACAGTCTGAAGATTGAAACAACCGATAACGTTTATCATAGTTGTATGGCCGGATCCAACCTGATATCCTACCACCGGTAAAGATTAATAGAATACACAATGTACCCCCACCATCTCTACTGCAGTTGTTCCAAGTAAGAGCAGGCATTGAACGGACCAGACTTAGGAGTGATTTCTGTCAAAATCAAATAAAGTTATGTTTCAAATCTTTAAAGGGCATTTAGAAGTGGAATGCATAAGAAAAGCAAGATTTATGGATATCAACTTCTTTATTGTGAATAACACCACGTTTCGGAGTGTATGCTTGCTCCTTCATCAGCTTAATGGAGTACAAGGGGGAATATATACTGAGGGAAACAAGTAAGGGAACACCAGATCATGGCAGTGTCCCTTTATTTTTCAGATTTCCTCCCACACTGCTATTCAAAGCTGGTAATGAAAACTGGAAAATATTAAAGGAACACCTGTGTTCCTTTATTTGTTTCTCTCAGTATATATATGTACATGAGGCACTACAAAGAAGCTTGAATGAATACGTATTACTGGCCTCATGTTTTTATTACATATTCATGCTTCAACAGTGTTAAGCTTGTCATACATGTATAGTTAAGGCAATATGAGTTTCTTCTGTGAACTCTTTAATCCTATGACTTGTTGAGCTGATTCTAGGAGCATACCAAAATTGGTGCTCATATGGCCAGCCATACCCTGACAGCCTGCAGTTGGTGTCTTTATATCATGGTTGTGTTTAGACCCTCTAGACTTCTCATGAAGAATTTTACATTGATGAAATACTTGTCCACATCATATGTACAACTTCATACTCTTGAATCTTCACATAACACATTTAGTACGATTCACACAGCCTTTGTTCTAAAGGGTGCACATTCAACCAATTTAAAAGACATATGCGTGTATACATACACATACATACACATGCTATCCTTCTGGGAAAGAGACAGCTAGCATAAATACAACAGATATACAAGCAGTTGCATGGTGATGGAAGCTCTGAATGCGTGTCCTAACCTAAAGTAAGGTCAATGGTTAGTTTCCACAAAGCAAAATCTGCCACAAAGAATACAATTTTTTTAATTCCAAGTTTATTCTCTTAAATGTTGTCTTTTACTTTCAAACATTCAACATTAGGAACTGTTCATAATTTATGGCTAGGGGATAATGATTTTAAGGGGGGAGGGGGTCACCTATTTTGTTCAGGGGGTGGGGCGGCTGGGAGTGGTCATCAATATTGTATGCATGTACTAGGAGGGGTCAATAATTATGGGAGGGGGTATCATCGATTTTGTCATGACAGGCAGGGGGAGGGGGTCACTGTTTTGTGCATAAATCTTAGGGGGCTTCATTCACATTGTACATGCTCCTACATTTAAGTTATCATAACCGACCACCCCCACCCCCTCCCAAACCATAAATTATGACCAGTCCCTTCTAATAAAATATCAATCTATCACTAAAGACACAGCTGGTGATTGTCTATTATATACATGTATAATCTATGCTTCCATCAATGGCACACGAGGGTGGCCATAAGAGTGCACTTTGTAATGAATCAAACCCATCCTTAAGCGATACAGGTAAATGCAGGAATCATTGGGCTACTCAAGCTCCCCTGATAAGGAAGTCAAACGTGTATATCTGTTGTGCATATGATAACCAGTCATGCCCATCTAGGTCATGCAAACGTACTCAATAGATTTGTAATCCTCAATATTTACAAGGTTGTGAGGAAAGGGAAGACAATATTATCATACTATTTAGCGATATAGAGAAAAAAGTATCAGTTTGGTACAAGATAAAATTTGAAAATATTATGTAAATAATATTTGAAAGGGATATCGTGCAATCTCTCTATGACAGAAGGGGTGGTGAGTTAAATTCCCCAAATGGGTACAACCCGTGAAGCCCATTTCTGGTGTCCCCTGCAGCGATACTGCTGGAATATTGCTAAAAGCAGCGTAAAACCATGCTCACCTAATGGTACAAAACTGATTCCAATGTCATGTGTAGGAAAAATGACAAGTCTCACAATCCCTATCAAACGTTGAGTGGTGTAGTAATGAGACTGAGATGTTACCTTCTATTAAACTGCAGGCTTACCTGTCAGTAATTGACAAATTATTCAAAAATCTTGGCAGGAAATATACTGAATTTTATGGAAGCGTAGTAGGGCCACGGTGAAAAATTGTTTTGGTCTTACTATCTCCTACGTAGTACTTAATATCTCCTACGTAGGACTTAGTATCTCCTTCGTAGGACTTAATATCTCCTACGTAGGAGTTAGTATCTCCTACGTAGGACTTAGTATCTCCTACGTAGGACTTAATATCTCCTACGTAGGACTTAGTATCTCCTACGTAGGACTTAGCATCTCCTAAGTGGGTATCTCCTACGTAGGACTTAGTGTCTCCTACGTAGGAGTTAGTATCTCCTAAGTGGGTATCTCCTACGTAGGACTTAATATCTCCTACGTAGGACTTAGTATCTCCTTCGTAGGACATACTATCTCCTACGTAGGACTTAGTATCTCCTACGAAGAACTTAATATCTCCTACGTAGGACTTAATATCTCCTACGTAAGACATACTATCTCCTACGTAGGACTTAGTATCTCCTACGAAGAACTTAATATCTCCTACGTAGGACTTAATATATCCTATATCCTACGTAGGACTTAGTATCTCCTACGTAGGACTTAGTATCTCCTTCGTAGGACTTAATATCTCCTACGTAGGACTTAGTATCTCCTACGTAGGAGTTCCTACGTATCTCCCACGTAGGACTTAATATCTCCTACGTAGGGACTTAATATCTCCTACGTAGGACTTAGTATCTCCTTCGTAGGACTTAATATCTCCTACGTAGGAGTTAGTATCTCCTACGTAGGACTTAGTATCTCCTACGTAGGACTTAATATCTCCTACGTAGGACTTAGTATCTCCTACGTAGGACTTAGCATCTCCTAAGTGGGTATCTCCTACGTAGGACTTAGTGTCTCCTACGTAGGAGTTAGTATCTCCTAAGTGGGTATCTCCTACGTAGGACTTAATATCTCCTACGTAGGACTTAGTATCTCCTTCGTAGGACATACTATCTCCTACGTAGGACTTAGTATCTCCTACGAAGAACTTAATATCTCCTACGTAGGACTTAATATCTCCTACGTAAGACATACTATCTCCTACGTAGGACTTAGTATCTCCTACGAAGAACTTAATATCTCCTACGTAGGACTTAATATATCCTACGTAGGACTTAGTATCTCCTACGTAGGACTTAGTATCTCCTACGTAGGACTTAGTATCTCCTTCGTAGGACTTAATATCTCCTACGTAGGACTTAGTATCTCCTACGTAGGACTTAGTATCTCCTACGTAGGACTTAATATCTCCTACGTAGGACTTAATATCTCCTACGTAGGACTTAGTATCTCCTTCGTAGGACTTAATATCTCCTACGTAGGAGTTAGTATCTCCTACGTAGGACTTAGTATCTCCTACGTAGGACTTAGTATCTCCCTACGTAGGGACTTAGTATCTCCTACGTAGGACTTAGCATCTCCTAAGTGGGTCCTCCTACGTAGGACTTAGTGTCTCCTACGTAGGAGTTAGTATCTCCTAAGTGGGTATCTCCTACGTAGGGACTTAATATCTCCTACGTAGGACTTAGTATCTCCTTTGTAGGACATACTATCTCCTACGTAGGACTTAGTATCTCCTACGAAGAACTTAATATCTCCCTACGTAGGACTTAATATCTCCTACGTAAGACATACTATCTCCTACGTAGGACTTAGTA